GAGATGGGCACCTATCGCCTTTGCCATTCGAATCCCCGTCGGGAAGACAGCCAGGCGGGGAGCGAGGCTTTCCTCCGCCCCCTGCCCGGACTGCGCAGACTCAGAACTCTGCCTCTGGCGAGGAGGGGGGCGGAGAGAGAGAGAAAAGGGCGGGAAAGTCGCGCTTCCCTCAGCCAGGCGTGTGTGCTTCCTCGTCGACCATCATCCCCATCCATCCCCGAATACAGATAGTCCTCGACTTACAACTGTTCTCTGAATCAGCATTCAGCGTTACAACTGCACTGAGAAGAGGACCATTTTTCACAGTTAACACCATTTTGACACCCCCTCCCATGGTCACAGTGATGGGAATTCAGCCACTTGGCAACTGACTCATATTTATGAGGGTTGCAGATAGTCCTCAAATTGCAACTGTTCATTTAGTGATCATTCAAAGTTAAAAGTGCACTATGATTGTTTTTCACTCTTAATGGCCATTGCAGCATTCCCTCCGTGGTCACATGATCAAAATCTGGAGGCTTGGCAACTGACTCCTGTTTATGATGGTTGCAGTGTCCTGGCGTCACATGATCAACTTTTTGTGACTTTCTGAGAGTCAATGGGGAAGCCAGATTCCATTTAACCACGTCACCAACTTAACAAATGCAGTGATTCACTTAACAACTGTGGCAAAAGTTGTAAGTGGGACAAAATTCACCTTAAAATGTCTTGCTTAGCAATAAAAAAAATTGTGCTCAAATGTGGTGATAAGTTGAGGACTACCTCTAGGGCCCAGATTCAAGAGCAGGGGTCATAAGCAGTTAGTGGAGTAAGAGTTGGAGGGGACCTTGGAGGTTGTCTAGCCCAACCCCCTGCTCAAGCAGGAGACCCTATGTCATTCCAGACAAATAACTGTCCAATTTCTTCTTAATAGCCTCCAGTGATGGGGCACACACAACTTCTGGAGGCAATTCCCGATTCATTGTTCTCATTGTCAAAATATTTCTCCTTAGTTCTAGGTTGGATCTCTCCTTGATAAGATAACCCTTACTTCCTAGGCTGCCTTCAGGAGCTTTGGAGAATAGGTTGACCCCACCTATTGTGGTCCACCGGCAGCAGGTGCAGGCAGCTGAGGTCTGGGAGAGCGAGGACTCAGATGAGGGACCTGCGTGTGATACAGGGATGGGGCCAGGACCATCAGGGCAGGGAATGCTGCCTTGGGAGATTGTGGAGGCTGGCAACAGTGAGGAAGAGGACCCCCGAGGAGCCTGTGCCCAATGCAGCTGCGTGCAGGGCTGCTCAAAGGAAAGAGCAGCTGCAGCAGCACAGACAACTCAGGAGTAAGGTTGCAAGGTAATGGCCACTCCCTTAAGAGATAAAAGCCAGCTGAGAAACCGGAGTTCTTTGCAGGAAGCAAATAAGTTTTTCCACTCAAGCCTTGTGGACGTTCGGAATACCTTGGTTGGTGTTTGGAGACTCTTTGTGTTTGAAATATTTCTTAGTAACTTTTATCTAGTGTACTTGGCAGCCTTGCACAACCTTGGCAAGGCTCATTCTTATCAGAGACAATTAGTTTGCAACAGCCTTTTAAACGTGAAGGAACGGAATTTGTAAAGAATAATTAAAAGGTTTTGCTATTACCTCTGTTTCATGTTTGTTTCCTTGGAACAAGGATGGGTCAGAATAACCCCTTTTTGTGGCAGCCCCTCAGATATTGGAACACTGCTATCATGACACCTGTAGTTCATCAAACTGGACATACCCTATTCCTGAAATCATTTTTGTGTGCTTTAGTGTCAAGAAAAAACATGGCTGCATCCATGAAATCATCCGGATTTGAGCTGGGTTTAAAGGAGCCTTTAGTATCAGCAGATAGAGCATCTCATTCAGCCAAGATGTACTCTGAAGCTAAGCAGTTTGGAATGTTTTTTTGTTTTGTTAGGAATCACCAGGAAATTTTGGCCATAGGAGAGGGGGAACCCTTGGAAAACGACTGCTGCAAAACGTGTCTGTGTTTTTTTGCATACAAAAGTCAATTTGAGGGCGTCTTTGTTGTCTTGCATAGCGGAGGTATATTTTCTTCTCTTACTCTGTGCTAGTTTGTAGGCGAAGTTGGCTGGATTCCCAAATCTATAATTGGTTGTCAATCCCAACAGTTTCATGCCATACATCAAGACAAAACTATACCAGTCCCACATGGTTTAGTAGTTTCATCTGTGAACTCAGTGCCAATTTAATTTTGCAAGGAAGCCCCTTTTTAAGAAGTATTTGAGGTTCAACTAACATCCACAGGGGGAGGGCATCGCAAAAATTAAGATAGTTAGGTGTGACATTAATTCAAGCCCTGTTCTTTTGCATGTGTCACATTGCATGTGTATGTAGTCTTCTACTTAAAACCATTTATTAGCAACTTTGAAGTGGCACTCAAAAAATGACTTACACTTACCATCGCTGCCGTATTTTCAGAATTTGGGTACCTGGCAACCAGCATGTATTTGTGATGGTTGCAGTTTCTCAGGTCACTGTTTGCAACTTTCCTAGTTGGCTTCCAACAAGCAAGATCAATGGAGAAAGCCAGATTCACTCAATAACTGTGCTTCACAAGGACTGGTAAAAAACGGTCAGAAAATTGGGCAAAAATCATAAACATCTTGCTTATCAATGGAAATCTCGTCTCAAGGGGGTCATAAATCAAAGACTATCTTTATGTATAATTATCATACTAGCTACAACTTCCACCTTGACTTTTGTTAAACCCTATGCCCCACCTGTGGATTCCTGTGAGTTCAGTGCAGCAAAGATATTTTCCAAACAGAATTCATTGTATTAAACATGGTTGGATTTGCAGTTGCCTAGTGTTTCTCTTTTAAAGAATATATAGGTACTGCATGTGATGGGTCCACATAGTTGATTTTCATGTTTAATTACTCACATCCCCATGGTGAAAATAAACATCAAATAATTGATTGCATGGGTGAGAAGAAAAAATTACAAACAGCCGGTAAGTGGCAATAAAATGTGAAAGATCCTCAATTAAAGCTGAAATGTAGTAATAGCAATTGCCAAGCACTGCTCTCCTAAATGGATACTTGCTATCTTTATTGTGTGCATTTCAGTTGTGAAATTTGATTAGTTTTTAATGTTTGAACTTCACCATCACTTAACTGTTTCCAACCTTCTTTCATATGTACAATTTGACTTTTCCACTCCTGTATTTATCAACTGAGAACATTTTTATTCATCTGATGGATACGGAATGTAATCCTAATGTTAAAATATGCCACATTAAATGTATTGATCTTTGAGTGTATCAAGTATATCTGATCAAAATTATCTTTACACTTTAAAAGCTATGAGGTATTTCCCATTAACTTAGTATGTTACCAAAGTAATTAAAAAATTAGTTGCAAAAAAAGCCATTCAGGTCTGTGAAAGCTACAGTATGTGTGAAAAAAATGTGTGCCTTATAGAAGCAACATGTTCCAGTTTTCCAATACCATATAGTTAATGAAAATTATATGTCAGCTATTAAAAGTTTAGAAATCACCGACTATAAGAAAGTTTGATTATTCTTGATCTAAATCATGACATTTTTAAGTTCTTCCATCAAACTAGAGATTAAATGAGAAGCTGGTGTACTTAAGACTCATAATTATATTAATAACGTATATGTACTTGAATAATAGTATGGGCATTATCTAAATGCATTAGATAATTTAATATAGAATTGTAACTACTGCTAAAATGATATACTTTTTGTTGTATTTTTCCTTTTTTAAAAAAAAACATTTTCTGTGGTTTTTTTTTCTTTGATGGTATATATATTTTTCTCTTGTTTTGCTTTTTTATCATTAAAAAAATATTTGTTCAATTGAGCTTATTGTATTTCTGTTCTCATCAGACCAGAATTGGTTCTGCAATCATTAGAGAGAAATATTGATTGACCATCCCAGGCAGTAATTTAATATGATTCAGTGTCTTTGTCTTTGCCTCATATAATGACCATCTGAGTTTACAATTATGATGAAAAAGTAACTTTGCAACCAGTGCCTGCATTTTACCTCTTGGCATCACCATTGCAGTCAGCAGAGTGGAGAGATTCTTGTTGCTCTCTGAGCTTGGTTGTTTTCCTACAGACATTTCATTACCCAAACTGGGTAACATCATCAGTGTTAGTAAGGAGTGTTAAAAGAGTGTTACCTAGTTTGGGTAATGAAATGTCTGCAAGAAAACAACCAAGCTCAGAGAGCACCAAGGTCAACCCTGAGCTACAAATATTTTATTTTGTTAGTGGAGAGATTGCCTAAGCGTGCTATAACTTCCTGAGCTATTTTTCTCCATAGAGGGGCAAGGCCCTAAAAAATATTTACTGCAAGTTAACAAGCTCAGTTCTGTGATCTTAATTAGTTGATTAGGATTTTTCACTCAGTGACCACTCTGCTTAACAACCAAGTTACTGATCCCAGCTATGGTTTCTAAATGTAAACTATCTAAAAAATGATCATGGGTGTTATGTTTTGATACACATAATCATCTGTACAACAGTGTCTTTTTAAAGCAGGGGTGTCAAACTGGCGGCCCATGGGCTGGATGAGTCACGCATAGGCTATGCCCACCCCAGTTCCACAAAGGGAAAAAAAAGTGAAACATCACATGATGGCAATGTGACGCTATGAGTTTGACACCCATGTCTTAGTGTATAATGAAGTTCACTTTAGAAGTTGGGGCTTTCTGCATTCCCCACAGAATTCCTTTGCAACACTGTCAACTTATTTTTAGTAATTGTTCGGTTCACCACAAATTTTCCCATTTATTAAATCTCTATACTGTAAAATGCATTGCAAGTGTAATACTGATCAATAGTTAACAGTGATTGCAGGAATTAGAATAAATGTAACAGCTACACAAATACAATTAAGTATTGTATAGGTGATTCACCATTGTGGCATGTTACTAAACTGCAAAATCTGTCGTTGATGAAAAAGAATAGAATCAGAATTAAAAATCACAAAACAGATGAATAATTTGCCATGTAATATTTATTTTAATATAGGAAAAAGATAGACTTTGAAATAGTTCTTTCTACATTTCCACCCCCTATTTGCTGCAGTGGAACTGCTTCACACAAGGCAAAAATACTACATTCATACTGTTTTATTTGGGCACCCTGTACTTAGCTGAAGCAGCGATACCCAAACTGGCAGATCTAATTTTCAAACATGAGACTTATTTCTAAAATACAACAGTAAAAAGAAACAAAGATCTATTGCAAATGCATGAATTAGGATACAATGCTTCAAAACATTTCCATTTAAAGAATTGCAATACAGTGAATGTCTTCTTTAGGGCATCTTACATATGCATATCTATATTTATATATAATATAATATATATATATATATAAAAATCAGCACACTTTTTCAGTTCAAAAGGGATTACAGCTATGAGCTCCTCTGTTTAATTCTCTTTCTTTTAAGTGGATACTTATGTTTTGTTAACTCAGTAGTACAAGCTATCTCTGATCTACATTCTTTTTTTTTTTTTAGCTACTACAGTGAAATATAACCCACAAAATTTACATTTCACATATCTTGGTATACAAACAGTACATTGGAATATGAGCTAAGGATTGATAATCTTTTGAATTATTTCACCACCTGATAGAGCTTTCTGCATTTAGTATTTCCTAAATTAATTCTTATTTCTGAAGTTTGTCAGGAATCCAAAACTGAAAATTTTGTATTTTATATCTGGTCTAAACTCCTGTTTATTTATTTATTAATAAGATGCACATTTCACTATGTTAAGGTAATTTTAAGACTTTTATCTGGTTTCCTTGAATAAACCTCACAATTTAGAAATCCTTGAAAAAATAAACAACCACCAAATAGTTGGATTAAATTAGGGATTTTTGTTTTGTTTTCCTTCCACTTTTGTTCTTCAACTTTTAATGTAAATTTCTAATGCTACAAAATAATACAGAAAGCTCCATAGGGAATTGACAAATTGTTGATTTTAGGTTGATTTTAGGTTAGGTTGATTTTACATTAGAGAGAAGTCAGTCATCAAACTTGGGGACAACATATATTGATAGGTGAAAGACTGTAGGGTTTTATTTGCATTTTAAAATGTGGACAGCAGCAAGATTGAAGGCCCTTGGCACTTGTAAATATAGGGCATAGCATTGGAGACCAAGAATAGCAACCACTTTGATGCGTCCAACAATATAAATTAATATGAAAAGTCATTTTAGTAGAGAGGGTGTTTTCCTCTCACTCATCACCAAAAAAATTACGAATAATTGATATACTTATATGTTTAAAAAGAAAAATACACCTGTGAAAGTTAATCTCTGTTGTACCACCGAACTTGAATTTTGATGGGAAGATTTTATTTCAATATATTGATGACCAGTAATGAAAGTTATGGGAATATATAAATAGATTTTTTAAAAAGTGCAGTTCCCTACCAAGTCAAGATCTGTGAAATTAATGCTATAGATTTTCATTCCATAGAAAATGGCAATGTTATATTTTGCTGTAACAAAGTAATGGGGTAGACCAATCTTTTCTAAAGGGCTCAGTAAACAATTCCTGTGCTCAGTCTGTTACACCCCTTTCCCCAAACAATTATCCTGTCGTGATATCCTTCAGGACCTCTTTGCTATTACAAGTAAAAAGCAAAGTTGTCAAGATCATCAGGAAATTTATCCTAATAGAAAACTGAAGCAGTAGAAATCCAAGTATTATAGAAAAGAAGCATTTTTTTCTTGCAACTACATAAATCCAAGAAACTTGTGTTTGACAAAGAAGCCTGTTAGCTGAATCTTTGTAGGAAATAACCACCAACTTATTTTTACATGTTTACCCCTTGATGATCTGTTCCATTCTCCTCTCCCTCAAATTTCTTCATTTTATATAATGATTTCTTGTTTATGAATGTTGCTAGTTTGTTAAGAAGAATCCAGAAATAACTATTGCATTAATGTGAAATTTGAGGATCATCAGATCCCCAAATATATTGGATGAAAGATCAAACCCAGAAATAAGAAAGTTACAAAAACAGTTTCTAACTTCTAAGCCTCACTTTACCATAACCCTGACTCAAAAAAAAGTTTAGAAGAGTTTACAGCAGTTGCTTTGCATTGCAATAAATGAAGGCACAAATTAAAAAGCATTAGAATTCATAGCTATGAGACCTCAAATGGTAACTTCCTTGAGGATGTGTCCACTAAAATAGCCAGTTGCATTTATGACTAAGGGACACTAAACTCAAGTCTCAAATCTTTAAAAATATTCAGAAAGAGCACATATACCTAACAGATTTTAGAAAATTCACTGAAAACCTTTTATTAATTAGCGGACACTGAAATAATTATTAAGTTGTGGACCTATATTCTGTGCCATTGTCTGGCAATAGATTCACCTCTAGAAAAAGTAGAAATGCATAAAATAGAATCTACTGAAAATATTAAGTAGAACATGTTTCACACTAGTACATATATGTTTTAGACCATTAAATTGATTTTAAGCTTTTTGCTGAACTGCCTAAAATTTCTACTTCATATAGCTCACAATACGTACATTATTGATAGATAAAATGGCACCACGCTATGGCATCAATCTTTCCTTGTCTCCTACCAAGCCAGGCAAATATAGCATAAGAAAGACTCAAGAGATGTTTCTTATAAAACATGGATTCCTATCTAGGTTATTGGATTTTACTGTGGGAAAACTGTTGCCAAGTTGCTATGGGTTGTCAAAACAATTATTATGTGGCTGATCATTCTGGAATGCTCAGCATATATTTAAAACTGTGTCTAATGTAGGAATGTATCCCTGAATCAAAAATTCAGATATCTATAAAAATAAATCACTACCTTGAGATATAAAAAAACCAAAACACATCTTCAGGGGATTCTACCTCATGCATATTGCCTTAGCACATCATGACTTAATTCGGTTAGCAGAACAGTCTCCAAGCATTATCATGATTAAGAATTCTGGAGAACTAGATTAAAACTATATGATTTTCTTTTCATGTTTTTTGCTAATGTTGGTATATCAGTGTATCTGAACTGGGGCAGTGGTAAACATAATTAGCTTTTCCCTTACTAATAAATATCAAGATCAAGTTTTAAACTGTTTTTATCCTGTCACTATTGCTAACATTGCAAAACAGATTCACTTGTACTGAAAAATGAGGAAACCCTGTATGTCATAGACTATTGGATAATCGTGAAAATGTTGCATAAGATTGAGGGCTCTAAATATAATGTGCTTTTATTTCTTAAATATATTATTTTTCCTGCTTCTAAATAAGAATTCAAACTTGGCAGTGTCTCTTTATTAAGATCAAAAAATGGCATAGATTCTTTACTCGCTTATTGATTTTAATTTAAGTTTCCCTATGCCAGATAAGGAACAAAATACAGCTACATGGACAGGCTGATCCTAGAGATACAAACATCTCAATTGCAGCAAACTTTTTAAAGAAAGAATTGGACTCGGATTAGACAATTTCATGATTCACACATCACATTAAACGCATCCCTCCAATTCCATTGTGGCTTAATGTGATGAATGAATACAGTATAAAATTAAGTAAGCTGGAGCTCTATCCTCCACCTAACCTGGGAGAAAAGCCTTGGTTTTTTTTTTTTAAGGCCCCTATTTCAGCAAATGAAATATATTCAAACTACCACTACTTATGGTAATTGTCATAATTATATTTAGACCAAATCTGATTTGGATTTTTTTTTCTTTCTCTCATGCATAGCTACACTTGTGATTGAGCTTCCTTATTGCTATATCAAGAACTTTCTTAACATTAAATATACAAGACCAACTGAAGGCCAGGAAGATTAAAGAGATGCACTATTTAAGAAAAAATGCGATTACACAACAGGAAAACTGCATCATTAATAGGTAAATGTGACTGTCAGACACTGGAGATGCTATAAGCTAACCTTTTTCCACCTGGAGTCTGCCAGATGGGTCTGGATTGCAGAATTTTGAGCCAACAGCAGTTTTGGCCAGGAAGTATGAGAATTCTAGGAGATGGGTACCACATTTGGGAAGGCTGAGAATCCAAGAAGCTAACAAAAAAAAAGATATGGACAACATATATTAGCTAAGGAATATGTATATGGTCACATTTGAATCATAGCTAACCACACAACCAAAGCAACTGGCAATGATCTGTAAGCTAGGAAATTTAAGTAAGAAGCCGTCAATCTGGCTGAAAATTAACTTTATTTAACTCAACCAGTCTGATCAACAGACACAGCTTCTCACTTTATGTAGGAAGGACTAAGAGCACTCCTAATGGAAAAAACACAAAAACAACTTCTATATGGCACTTTCAATAAATACTTTAAAGCTTCTCAAAACTTTGTTTCAATGGAAAAGCAAAGCAACTGCTGTATCAAGCTTATTTTAACCATTATATGAATAATGCTGCGAGACAGGAAAAAGCACACTTGAAGCAACACAGCAATAATAACAGTGTATCTTCCTCACTGCTAACCATGCACCTTGACTGTTAGTGACATACAGATGTCAAGGTTTTATTTCATTTTAATGGATCTATTTTCCTTCATTTTGTTTTGCCTAAAACCCCTGTTGTTAAGGGCAACATTATCATCCATAAAGACATAATTAGAACTTTGTTGAGGCCTCCTAATTGGTAGCCTTCTGAATAAAGCCTGCTACTCCTGTATATAAAATGATAGTCTCTTCTCAAAACATGTCTTACATCAAGACTGCAGAAATCAAAGGAGTAGCTAATAACTTGGCAAGGGACAAGTGAGTCCCATGTTGTCTTAGTTTGATTCTCCACAGTGGCTTGAGGCTTTGCAGAGCAAATGTGCCAACCACTTTCTTGTATATTCTGAATGCATTAGATCACTGACTCTTCTAAGACTTTTTTTTCTTAATAGAACCAGTGCCAAATCAAGTTTCTGAATCAATCAGATGCTTAATCTTGATATAAAACAGAGTGAAGAGCGATAAAAGTCTATTCCGGAAAAAAAAGGACAATCCATGACCAATGAAACAATTATCCTGTTTAGTCAATTGTATGCAAAATTAGTCTTTAAGATACTAGTCACTGACAAATGTTGAATAAATTCCCAAGAAGTTCGCGGCGCCTGCAGAAGCTGCAATGATGCCAAAACGACATCTGCTCAGTGATGTAACTCAGCAAATGCCACCATAATGTACAAGTTGCAGAACACCTGAGACAGAATATATACATTATGGCATCTGTATGATTACATACATGTCACCACTTGTTCCCTAATGAAGTCCACTCCAAGTTCAGAAAAGGTGTCTGCATTTGCCATCTACAACCATTTTTGAAGTAATAAATTAACTCATCTTCCTCAATTAATTTTAGCTTATGTAAAAGAAATCTTAACATGTTTCAGGGTTGCTCATAGTTACCTTAAATAGTTCAGAGATTCAAGATTGAGCAAAGAGAAGAAAAGCATCAGCATTTCTGCTTCCTTATTAAGAGAGGCAGCTGTTTCCCAAGAAAAGAATAAAAGCTCAAATTTTAATTCCCCCACCCCTTGAAAGAGATACAGAAGCATGCAGAGTGAAACTATTTTTTTTTTTTTTGCACATTCATAAGCAGTCAAAAGCAACTTTCCTCTTGTCTTACAAAGTGAAAAAGGCAGTTCGTTTTGGACACCTCTGCTTCCCACATGCCCACTTAGCAAGATTAGTTTCCCTTTGCTGTTCTTTATTTGTTAGAAAAGCTTCTCTGATTTTCTCCTGCAGTTAATTAAAATGCCTTGGGGGAAAAGGAATTGCATTGCAACCTTTTTTGTTTTTTACCGAATGACCAAATTTATATTGCATTAACTGGGGATCAGTCAACCAACAGCTGAATAACAAATGTAAAGAAAATAATTTTCATTCATGGATTAGTATCTCCCGGGGAAAATGTTTCATAAAGGAAATGCTATTACTAATAATTTTTTACTAAAACAACTTATGCTCCTACTACTTCCACCAATTTTTTTTTAAAAAAATGGAAACAAGCCTTCACAAGTAATGATGAATATGTCCAGGAATCTTGTACAGCCAATTCCTCTAAAATTGTTTACACTTATTTACAATGGTGCTTTATAGAAAGAAAAAGAAAAGAAGTGGTAGCATTTTTTTTAAAAGATCGGGGGATTTTTTTCTTTTTTCTTCTTCTTTTTTTAAAACTCCCGTTTCATAAAAGCCAACTTACATTAAAATTTACATACTCCAAGATAACACAACTAACAAAATATATAAACTCATACAAGTAGAAAATTTTGAGGTATTTCTGGTTTGAGGTGGTCTGTGGTCATGAAGGTTTTTTTTTTTTTTAGTTAAACCTCAAAAGCCACTTCATGTGTATGTGTTTTCTAAGTATTTTTTTTTTATAAATCATTGCATGTCTTGCAAGTTAAAAAAATATTTAAATGTTATATTGGCAGCATTAGGAGTATTCACTGACTAGAGCGGATTTTATGGCGTAGTAGAATTAAGTATATTGAAAATATGCACCACTGTTAAGACGAAAAAGTTGGGTGACAGACAGTCTTCAGAGAATGAAGAATCAAGAAAAATTCAAAAGCCATCAATTTCAACCAGCTGTGGGCTGTATTGAAAGCAAAGGAATTTGTGTAAAGTGTGAAAGTAAACTTAGAAACAGAAGTCTATAAAAGATGTGAGTAGCCAAGGTTGAGAAACATTGGCCTAAACTATGCCTATTCTTACCATAAATCAAAGAAAGATAGACCACTGTATTCAACTATATTCAACTATATTCAACCGTCATGACTTTTGCCAAAGGACTGTCCAGAGAAAGTGTCAAAAAAGTTAGGATGGCTGTGATCACAGCTGCCATCTTGATTTTTTGTTTTTAAATACACACACATACATTCCCATAAAGTTTTGGGGACAATCGAAGATGGCATTTCTGTGTGTCTTTAATGGGGAATGTTTATCTCCCTTTACAATGCCTGATAGTCATAGCAGCTAAACAGCCTTGACATTTGTCCTGCAGATATTAAGATCTCAGAGTGAGATTAAATTTTATTAGTCCTGGCTACATTTACTTGGAAATAAGTTTTACTGATTTCAATGAGTCTTCAAAGAAAGGCTGTCTCATATCATGAATGACATTGAATACCAAATACATAACTGGATACACTGGTCTTTTTAAAGCTCCAGGTTAGATGCTTGTTGTCTTTTGTATTTATTTATTTTATTATTATTATTATTAAAATGGCAGAAAAATTGTTTAGGGCTGTAACCTTGCCCTGTTAGACAACTGAGGGAAATCTGCAGTTATTGAATCCTAAGACCTCATTCTCTGAACTTATAAATGTAATAGAAAGGGTTGGTTTCACTTAATGTTACCCAAGCCTGAGATATATATAAGAATCCATTTGTATCAGTGATTTTTTGTGACCCAACTTTTTCTGTGTGTTGTAGCAGTTTAATAAGCCTTTCTCAAAACTTGCCCATCCTCTCATTAACTGTTTTCCTGAGAAGTAAACTCTTTAGCCACTGTTTTTGTCCAGATGCTGCGAAAGTCCAATGCCTCTTCCCCACCCAGCCCTAACTTCTCATTTTCAGTTCTACCATCAGAGTTAATATTCTCGACTCAATCACTCCCCACCCTCACCCACAAAAAAAGCACGGCAACACCCGTTAGACCCGTAAAAGACACATCTGCTTTTTTTTTCTTTTTTTTTTAAGCTCACTGTCTAAAATAGGAAAGAAAGAAAGAAAAGGGAAAGTAGGAGGGGTGATCCTTTTTTTGAGAGATGTGATCTCATGGAACAGTCTTGATTTTGCAGCATGGATAAGAAGATGAGTAGGTTGTTTTCTTGTTGTCACTGATATTTGGTGTAAAAATTGCAGGTTAGTTAGAAGAGAAAACAGGTTGAAAAAAAGAAATGAAGAGAGTTCACTGAGGTTTTGAGGTACCTGCACTGTAACTGCATTCATTAGTCGGCACCTGGATGCTTTCAGAGTGATGTCTTTCTCTAATTATTTTTTTTTCTCTTTTCAATACAGTAGAGCAATATGCTGGTAAATTGATTCAATCAAAACAACAACGACAACAACACAACAAATAATAACAATAGCAAGAAAAGTCAAGAAAATAGCAGCTGCAATCATGTATAGGTATGCGTGTGTGTGTTGAATTCTGCAATTTTTTTTTTTTTCAGAAAAAAAAAATCCACTGCGTCTTAAGAGACCAGTGGGAAAAAAAAAAGGCAAACAAGGATTTAGATACTTGACTCTTTGGGCAGCAAATCTACGTTGGTGACAGAGGTCACGATGGAAACAAGGCAGTCGAGGGTACTACCATTGGCTGATTTGCGAATCTGGGCGACACGCTCTTCCACACAACCGGCAGACAGTCTGGCCTCCGCATCATGATCCCAGCATTCTTCAATGGTAACACACAGCTGGGCTATGCCCTGTATGCCCAAGGAGAAGGGAAGGAAGGAAGAAGGGTTTAACCAGAGAAAGTACACCGATGCAAGCTTGAGGATGCCAGGGGTACAGGTCATATTCGTGGTACAACTGTAATGCAGTCTCCCCATTAAGGTTCTAAGTTAAGGGTCTTCAAACTTGGCTGTAAATTGGGGCAAAACTCACTGAACAACTGTCTTGCTTAGCAATGGAAATCTGGATCGTAAGTTGAGGGCTGCTTGAATTGACTTTTATTAAACCATACTGGCCCGCCCAGCCATGGACATTTGGGGATGGGGGGGGGGGGAATATGCAAATATCAGGAAAGGACCTACAGGGTGTTTAAGCCAGTGGTCCTTGAACACAGGACGCATCTTCTTATGCACCACAATCTCCTGCAGCTCCTCCAGAGATGGGTGCTGGCCGATTTCTTCTTCAAAAGGCAGTAAGTAGTCATCCACGGGGCCTATATTTACAGAAGAAAGGACATTGCTACCATAGGCAATCCACTGGAACCAACAGGTAGCTCCTACCAACTGGCATCTCACAGCTGTATTCAACTGTATGCGTCACACAGATATATGCTGATTACTTATGTCCAAGTTTAAATGGAGTCATTTGTTTGAAGTTAATGTTGCAAATCAACCTTGTTAGCCATCCACCCAACTCTGCAACTCCGTAACAATGAGAGCAGGCTCTCTTGGCCTGATTCCCTCCCTTCTCAATACAATCTGCCTGCACATCACTTCACTTCCTCCTCAAGTAATAGCTGTGTTGTTTGTTTATTTAATTAAAATGTTTCTATGACTGCCCCATCTTCTAGCCAACTCTAGGCAGCTGCTTAAAGAACTACTTAGTGTATTCTTATTACTTCTCTTTATAAAGAGATAGATTGACTAAGGACAGGAAATTTTAAGAAAGATTCTCTAAAAGACAACAGGTTGAATTGCAAGAATTTGGTAAAAATCAGGGGAAAGGAGAATTGTTCTAGTTCAGATTTGTGTCATTTTTACATATTTTTATTCTGAGCTGTTGTTTTTTTCTTCATTTGTTTGTTTTTTTAAAAGCTAAGAAATACAGTGTGTTGATATGCTACAAGTCAACACCTTTGTCAAGATCAAATCAGATAAGTTTGATTTAATTACTTTAATTGGAATTTGCAAAAAGTGACTCCCAGGAAAATTCCTAAAGAAATTTGGCAATAATCTCCATCCCATAACTGTCAGAAATTCAAATCTTACTTTTCTTCACTAAAGGATCATGCTACAGTTCAGGCATGTACTGTTTGGCATTTCATTTATTAGCTTATCAATTCTCGAAGACCCTGCAGTACACATTCCAGCTGCCCCTTAAATAAATTATACTTATAAAACTTGTATATGCCAAAAATCTTAATTGTTTAGATTTACTTGGTCATCCAAACAACAAAAACATCCAAATAATAAAACTAAGCATAGGCTAATAAAGATATACTCTTTAATGACTTACCTTGGTCTCAGTAGTCTCATGTAGATGAAGCAAAGTTTATAAAACCTTTAGCTTTTTTAAAACCTTCTTTGAACAAAAGTCTACCAATTTAAGAAAGACTTTGTATAATTTAAATGTCTCAGAATGCTTACAAATTTCAACCGTTTCCATTATATGGGACTAGATAGTCTATATAAGTATGGGTGACCCAGAGTATCTTTCTTCTGGGAAAAATATCCCTACATAGATATTCTGAATTAAATGTTCATAAACTAACTCCAAATGGGTTGGACATACAGTTTTCGTAATTTCTAAGGAAGTAAGAACAGTATGTAAAAATGATATTGAAACTCACCATCAGCTGCCGTGCATCTGGAAGCCAACTCCCACAAAACCAAGCCCATGGCATACATATCAATTCTCAGGAAGGAATCTCTCTGGAAATTAATTGCTCCTTCCAGGACCTCAGGAGCCATGTATCTTCTTGTTCCCACCTATAATAGACACAGGAATCAGCTACTGAAACTAAACTCATACATTCAAACTCTGGTTCTTTAAAAAAGGGAGAGGGAGAGAGGGAGAGAGAGGGAGGGAGAGAGAGGGAGGGAGAAAGAGAAGGGGGGGAACAATGAAAAGGAGAGGAAAAAAGCAGAAGTAATAGCAATTGTTGTTGATATTACCTTGGCTACAGGTAGTCCTCGATTTGTCACACCAAGATGTTGCTGAATGAGAATACTTACAACTGGTCTGTGAAGTTGCAGCTGTCACTGGATTCTCACAATCATGGGATCACGATCTGGGTGCTCAGGTGTCCAGCTCGCAATTATGATGGTTGTAGTGAGCCAATGGTCACATGATTGCCCTTTGCAACCTCTCCCGCTGGCTTCCCATGAGCCGTCAATGGGGAAGCCATCAGGAAAGATCAGAGGTTGTTTCCAACTGCTTTTGTCTCCCAGAGATCTCATACTCTGTGGCACAGACCTCCCTGCCCACCTGTGCTCTGCAGCACCTCCCTGTGGTTTCCCCACTCCCCCAATGATGACCCCATTGGCTACTAGGATGGATGACGTTACCTAGTTGGGTAATGAAATGTCTGCAAGAAAACAACCAATCTCAGAGAGTAGCAAAAACCTCACAATTCAACCTTGAGCTACAAAGATTATCTTCTATTGGCAGGCATTGAACCATCTACCAATGCATTCTTCATCATTTTGACAAGATCAATTGATTGCTGATACTTCAAAAAAAAAAAAAATACAAGTAGTTCTCACTTCCTGATCGCTCGTTCAGTGACCGTTACAATGGCACTGAGAAAGGATAAATTATACACTGTCATGTGTACACAAAAATTGTGACTTGTTTTTCAAAATATAGAACCTAGGTACTATGTGACAATAACATAGATTTGTCTTATCTTCACCTGCCTTCCCAATTAGATTTGCGAAATGAAGTAGTATAAGCTAACCTGCAGGTTTACCTGTCCATGAGTATCTCCTGGGGGCTTCCCGGGTTCAAAACGTACGGCCAGTCCGAAGTCAGCAAGCACGGCAGTCAAATCATTCTTCAACAGCACATTCTTGCTCTTGAAATCCCTGCAAGGAAAAGAAGAGGAGAGAAGAGAAGAGAGGAGAGGAGAAGAGGGGAGGGGACATAAGAGGAGAGAAGAAGAGAAGAGAGGAGAGTGGAGAAAAGGGAAGAGGAGAGAAGGGAAGAGGAGGTATTTAATGTAGCACATTATCAACAGCCAAGATAAAGCCATCTACGTGAGATTTTTGCCACCAATGCCATCAACAACAGGTGGATGCAAACCCCATTTATGAGAAAGGCCACAAAGGAGGAAGAAATCAGAGAGGACATTATCCAGACCAACATTAACACAAGTTATGTGCAGTGGCATCCTTCCCTTATTATTTGCACTCGTAATTCCTTTGTCATCTCTTTCTTAGAAAGCAGGCTTTGGCCTCTAGAACGTTGCCTTGGATTCTGATCTCTACCTGGAGTTTCACTCGGCTGCGTTACTTCCTCATCTGCCTCTTAAATTAAACCCCTGCGCTTATTAAGCGACTCCTGGAGTTTCCTTCAGTAGGGGCGGAGGAGAACAGGGGGGGTGGGGGAAATAAAGAAAGGGGTTGAATATAATTAAATTACAGACTGGAGGCAGCAGATGGTAGACCCACGTGTGCCTGGCATTATAATTCTCTTGCTGTCAGTTTAATTGACTGTGGTATCCCAGCCGGTTGGATCACAGGACAAACGTGGGGCCAAGTAATATAATTAATGAGGGCAGATTGTGTTTCCCCACCCCCCCTCTCCGGCAAAACGCTCCGTAAGAATACGTTAGGAAGAGAGATGCCACCATGGACAAAAAAAGAGCTCACAAAAGGATGGAGGGGGAATGCAATGAATTCCCAGCGTGTACAGTATCCCAAAGGAAAACCCACCCCTCCTGACCCACAATTTCGTTTCGTTTTGTTTTCCAAGGAAGGAAAGAAAAGAGGGAAGATAGTTCCCAGGCACTGGGTACATGTTAAAGCTGTTAAAGTTGGCAGAGAAACTATCGCAGAGACCTTACGCCAGATTAGTCAAACTTCTGACAGCCAAGTACACCCAAAACCAAGATTCTCACAGAGGCTTCCCCCATCCAGATTTATTAAAAGAGAAAGGGGATTAGGCTGCAGAATTCACAACAACCAAATCCTTTCATTATTCGGACCCCTGTTTGAATTCAGTAAAGCCGTAGCTTTGTGCGTTCCCCTAAGTCGCCGATGAGAGGTCTGTTTTCCGGATAAGAAAAGAAAAGAAAAGGTGCAGATATTTTGGGCTTGTAGTGTTTCACAAACCACCTTTCTCTTTTGCAGGGATTGGAAAGACTAACATTATTTCTACAAGCGGATGAAAATGACTGTTAAGACAAGGGTGGATATTCTATGGATTCCTCAGGAGAGTCCCAGTAGCTGTTTCATGGCCCTTAAGAGTTGTTTTTCTCTCCCCTTCTCTCCTCCCCCCTTCCCTTCTTTCTCTTCCCCTCCCCACCTGCCCTCTCCCATTCATTTTTGTCCAGAGGAGGGGATAGGAAGAATGTCTTTACCGAAGGAAAACGGTAGTCCCAACACAATGAATGATGAAGCTGGAGCGTGTTGGAAGTGGATTTATTGTATCTGAAATTAAGTGCCGTTAGGGGGCAGCACAGCGTCAAAAAGACCCGGGTAATAGTTTTCGATTTCTAGATCGCCACCTTTTTCTGCAGATTCCTTTTATTGGTTAAATCAATCCTCTGTGCAACTAGCACGGAAGCTCCCAGAGGGCTCAGGATGTCCCATTGGATTGCTCTTCCCCGGTCCATTTGGTTCCCCCTCAATCTCACACAAACACACAGCAGTTTAGCCTACTACTTCAAAAGGAAAAACCAAGGAACGGGCTAGCCTTCCGTTCCCATAAAAGGTCATTAATTCCCTTGGAGGAATATGTACTGTTTAGATTGGGAGAGGGAGTGATCCATACACCTCCCCTTGAGCTCCATCAACACCTAGAAGTACGTAGGACAAACTTTGATTTGGCATTAAGGTAGACGAAAAATGGGACCCACCTGTGGGCTATCGCAGGCTTGTGGCCTTCCCCCTTGCACCAAGGGATGTCCTCGTGAAGGTAGGAGAGTCCGCGCGCCATGGTTTCCGCCACGTGGCAGAGCTCATTCCAGTTGACAACGTTCCCCTTCAGATAGTCAGTCAAGGACCCCTGGGGGAACAAACCTAGGTGATGCCTGTGACTCTTTTTGACGCCCTCTCAAATCGGATCCATGAGTCTTTACGCTAGTGTGTGTTTGTGTGTGGTGTGTGTGTGTATGTGTGTGTGTGTGTGGCGTTTACTGTGAGCCCAGCCAGTATTTGAAAGCAGGAATCTTAAGCATGCTTCTCTGGAAGTCAGCCCAAGGGCCAGTATTAAAAGCATGACTCTGCATAGAATATAGACCACCAAAGAGTGCCCAGAATTAACAGAGCGTTGGAAGGCACCTTGGAGGTCTTCTAGTCCAACCCCGTTTAAGCAGCCCTATAACCCGTTTTGGGCTCCTGTGCCAAATTGTGCCAGCGCCCAGAAGGCAATGTGTGCCCCCCCACGCCCCTGCGAATGCGAACACAATCCCCCCACGCCGCCGCCCCCCTTATCTGCACTGCGCCTCACAGCTGATTTTCAGCTGGTTTGAGGCCTTTTTTGGCCTCCCAGGGGCTTGAAAAAAGCCTCTGCAGGCCAAATAGGCCTGTTTTATCACTTCCGGTATTACAGCTGTGAGGTGCACACATGCGTAGTGAGGTAAGTTTGCCTAGGGCTCGCGTGCCGGCACAAATGGCTCTGCCATGCCATATGATTCGCCATCACGGCCGTATACCATTTCAGACAAATGGATGTCCACTCTCGTCTTAAACACCCCACCCAGTGTTGGAGCATTTACAACTTCTGGAAGCAAGCAGTTCCACTGTTTATTGGTTCTAACTGTCGAGAAATTTCTCCTTAGAGAAGTTCTAAATTGTTTCTGTGCCAGTGACATTCATCTGCAGGAGAGAATTAAACACAAACTTAAATATCCTCCAATGGAATAAACAGGATTGAAAATTAATGCTCAACTTGTGTTTATAGCAATGCATCTACAATGACTGAGCCAACTTACAGGTGGGCCCGGTCACCGTAGATGTTATGGACATAATGGAGCCTGCCTACCATGGTCATAACTCCTTAAAGCCCCATGACTGACCTTTTTGGAAGTGAAGTGAATCACTCTGCAGCCACTAAGGGAACCAATGGTTCACGATGAGAGGTTTTTGCCAAAAACTGAAAGTAAACGCTGGTTTTTCACAAAAAAACACACCATAAAATGCAGTCATATGATTGCAATATTAATGTGAGACCCAGTTGCTGAGCAATGGTTGTGTGACCGCCAGGGGCTGTCAGAATTTTTTAATCCAAATTGTAAATACCCCCTCCCCTCAAGTTAGTATTCTGGAACTTCAAACGGTCATTAAGTGACAAAGCCATAAGTCAAAGACCACCTGTACTTAGATCTGTGGGAGCAGCTCTTCTGAACAGGCACCTGTTTGCAGAAGCTCATATATATATATATCTGTGAAATGCTCTCCACGAGGAGATGCGTTCTTGGTCTTTCTGCCATCAACAAAGCGTCAACCTAACGAGTCCTTGTTACCTTCTCGTAGAAAGCTGTGATCAGCCACAGCTCCGTCTCCAAGTTTGTTCCCCTCTTCTCAGCTGCAATAAACTGCAAAAGGTTTTCATGTTTCATTCCCGGGGTGTTGAAGATATCCTTCTCACTTTGCCAAGATTGTTTGTCCTAGAGAGACGGCAGAAGGTTAAAAATGTGAAGAAACAAGACGAAATCTCTGTTCGGAGAACAAAGGACATCCCTAGACATTTGTGGTGCTATAGCCCCCTGAATGCTTCTTTTTATCTCCATCAATAAAAAAAAACATATATATATATAGTCCTGATAATTTGACCATCTTTGTACTTCCTCCCTTTCTTATTTGGCAGAACTCTGACCTTTTCGTAATTTGCAAATGCGAATAGAAATGGAATCAGCAAACATTGCGAGGGGTGTGTGTGGAGGGGGTAGGGGAATAAAAAACGGTATCCTTGCAATTGTAAAACATGTTCAACTTTGCTCAGAAACAAGTATGGCGGGCAGAGGAAGGTGCTGATTGCCCCGCGGATGACTGGTTCACCGGTTCAGACTGCTACCTAGGCCAGGTAACACGATCAACTTTGCAGGGAGGGCCACCTTCTGCGTTTCCTGGATTTACTTTAAATTTAGAAAATTGGGGGAAAAGGCACAGGAACCTGGTAACTCCCACATGCTTTTGTGTGTGTGTGTGTTGTGTGTGTGTGTGTTTGTGTGTGTGTGTGTTTCCTCTTATACTTTGTGTTTCTCCTAGCTACTGCCTTGGCTCAAACTTTCCATTGTCAGTTGGAAAAAGTAGCTAAGCTAGGAAGTCCTTCAAACCTGCAGGAGCAGAGGTTATATCCGGTTGATCGCTTGTCATGTCTCCCCCACTGAAATACCCCTAATGAAGGAGCAGCTATCTGCTTCCTCCTTCGCGTTCCGTTTTCTGATTTATCTGTACGGGAGGATGGTGGATTTAAATAAAAAACCAGGAACCAGAAAAGAAAGTCTATGAAACGATACGAATGCAAATAGACCTCAGCTTACAACCACAAAGGAGCCCAGAATTTCCATTGCTAAGCAAGACAGTTGTTAAGCGAGTTTTGCCCCGTTTTATGATCTCTCTTGGCCATAGTTGTTAAATGAATCGCTGCAGTTGTTTAGTTAGTAAACCAGGTGGTTAAGTGGCCTCCCCACTGTCAAAGGGTCACAAAAGGTGATCACATGACCCCTGGAATGCTGCAACTGTCATAAGTATATTCCACTTGCCATCATGTGACCATGAGGATGCTGCAAAGGTTGTAACTATGAAAACTGTGGTCGTAAGTCATTTTATTCAGTGACTTTATAACTTTGAACAGTCACTAAATGAATTGTTGTAGAGTAAGGAGGGCTTCCTGTAATAAATTATCCCAAAGATACTTCCCCATTTTACATGTTCGACATTGTTTAAGTCTGTATGATGAATGTCTCACAGAAGCTTAAGCTATCCCAAAATCTGTTACCTAGTACTGTAAAATTTGTTTTTTTAGATGACCCAGGGAAAGAAGAATAAAATTTTTAATGATTCCTCTCAATCTGAACATAATGGAGTCCCAGGCCTTTGCCAAGTGCATTATTTATGCTTAATTCTAGCAAGGATGGGCAATCTTTTTGACATTAAATGCAATGACAAGCCATAGATTTAACTATTTTCCTCTTCTTGCATTACAAATTACAATCCTTTGGCAATTCGTGAAAAGGCTTTAGGATATGGTTCCAAGACTTTGGAATCAACGTGCCTTGAAGTGTGATTTGAAATATTTTATCCCTGCTGTCATGCCTGAAGAAGCTGCCAAGATAAATAACATAAAACAGCAATATATAAAATGCTTGCAGATTCACGGAGCTGGGAACTTATTGCCATTCACTTGTGCATAGAACAGAGGCCGCCTGCACACTTACAGAATAAATAATGGCTTAGCGTGAAATCCAAAACGGACCCGCAAGCCATTTGGCTATGTCTTGAATCATGTGATTGGGTTGCAATCTATGAAACAAGGGAGATGTCTCTGCTCAAAATAGGGACAAGATCAATGAACCTTTAAGGGGGCAGAAACGGTAACTCAGTCCTGGGGAAGTGTGAAAATAACCCTTGATTTGTTTGATATAAGATGAGGCAGAGAGAAGCCACCAAGCATTCAAGTTTGTGTTTTTTCTACCTAATTAGGTTTTTCTCAGTCTTGGCAATATTTAAACCATGCAGACATCAGGTGGTCAAGTTTGAGAAACACTGCTACAGACTTTACTTACCTCGAAGACTTAAAACACAAAGCTCTCGATAAAATTGCTAACCTGGAGTTCTGTAAGAACATTTTTACCTTGCTCCAGGTGTTATTGGGAAGTAATTCCATTTCTCACCTGTACGGGGAAGATTTTCACTGCCACAAACTCATTCATCAATTGTGCTTTCCAGACACAGCCAAAACGACCCCTGGCTTTGACCTCTAACAACTGTAGTGGCTTCAGTCCAATCATTGGGGAAGGAGGTGGAGGACTAGGATCCTAGGAGAGAAAGGTAGGGGGTGATAGGAATCAGATAAAATTGAAATATTGTCAGGGTACGGAGGAATTTCTCGCAGGAGTTGTTATGGAGCTGGCAGGTGCCAATGACCGACACAAATTGAGAGGATGTCTATAGAATATCTTATCTTTTCTCAACAGAGAAGTTTTTAAACAAGTCTATGCAGTGGTGGTCTATAGAATATAGAATAGAATATCTTATCTTTTCTCAACAGAGAAGTTTTTAAACAAGTCTACGCAGTGGTGGTCTACACAAAAAGGTAAAGGTTTGATTTAGTTTACTTTATTGTCACTGCACCTCGTACAACGAAATTAAATTTCCCTGTCCAGTCAGGTCCAACTCTAAGGCATAGTGCCCATCTTTGTTTCTTGGCCGAAGGATCCAGCGTTGTCCAAAGACAATTTACATGGTCATGTGGCCAACATGGTATATACGCCAAAGGTGCCTGGAATGCTGCTATCTTCCTACCAAAGTGGTACCTATTTATCTACTTGCGTTTGCATGCTTCAGAACTGCTAGATGGGCAGGAGTTGGAGCAAGTGACGGTAGGTCACTCTGTTGTGTGGAACTTAAGATTTCAAACCTGGGCACTCAGCTCTCCAAGTTCAGCACTTGTAACAACTGAGCCAGTGCCCACTGCGCTCAGGTTTAAATTTGATTTATTTTTCACCACTGGGATGAAGGACAACGCTGAGTTCCTTGAACAGATTACTACTTTACCGGAAACCAATCCCCATTTTACATACCTCGCTGATATCGACGTGCCCATATGGAGGTTTGCGGTGACGGTACATCCAAAAAGCCAGCAGGATGGCAACGGAGAGAGCAGTCATGGGAAACAAGGAATAAACCACAACATGAAGCAAGGACGCATTTGGAGGAGGCGGCTCATAAACCACTGAAAGAAAGAAAATAGTAACCCTGTTTAGATCGGACACAAATGTCGGTCTCCAACATCCTGCCTTCAAGGCAAGGTAGAAGCTACAGGCAGTCCTCAACTTACAACAACTGAACCCAAAATTTCTGTTGCTAAGTCAGACATGTATGGTTTGTCCCAGATTGAGACCTTCCTTGCCACAGTTGTTAAGCGAATCACTTCAAGCTGTTAAGTGAGAAGCCTGGTTGTTAAATGAAACTGGCTTCCCCAATCACATGTTCACAGGATCCCTGCAACCGTCATAAATATGAACTAGTTGCCAAGCGGCTGAATTTTGATCACGTGACCATTCGCGGTGGTGGTAAGGGTGGGGGGGAAAAGGTCGTACGCCACTTTTTTTCAGTGCCGTTGTAACTTTGAACTATTGCAAAATGAACTGTTGTAAGTCGAGGTCTACCTGTATCCTAACGTGACCATTCCAACCAATTTGGTGTGAGGGTTAGTACTTTGCCCGTATTAATAACCGCTGCAGCTTTCTTAAGCATTTGTAAGTTCCACAATATCTTCATCTCTCCTTCTATGGAGAGCCCCCCCCCACCAAAATTCTCCCCCCCCCCACCACCAAAATGATAGTGCTTAAGAGCCCTACCATAATACATTTTTTCTCCCAGGAAAAATCAATTTGAAAGAGAGGTGATGGGGGGGATTGAGTTTGCACCGAAGACCCCAGGCTTCATGGCATCAGACACAGGTTCACATACCTAATGACTGTTACTTTGGGGTCTCAGCATTGAAGCTTTAGCTTCCATTAAGTTTATATGACAGGAATTTCTAAAGCATTATATTGTGGCTTTTAAAATGTTATTTTAATCAAAACATTTTAGAGAGGCATGCATATTATCATTGAACAGGCTCCATAATGTTTTGATTTTGGCTCCTGAAAAATGGTCTATTAGGGACCAATATTTTTCATAATTAGTGCATTCAGCTGATAGAGTGAAGCAAAATTGTAGCGTGGTGGCTTAGCTAGGAATGAACAGTCCATTGGTCCATAATGATCCAGTTATGTCCACCAACTGTCCCTTAAGTGGGCATCATTAACAAACGGCAGTTGTTTTGAAGATGGTTCAACATGTTTGCTATGTCTTCAGAACAAGAAATTCTGAACAGCAACATCTGCAAGAATCTGCAGTGAAACTGAAATGAAGAAGCATAGATCATGACTCTTATCACACAAAACATGTGACTTGAAACTTGCGCTAAGGAATTTGACTCAAGTATTCATCCACATTTGGCATCACTAGGCATTCATCATCAAATTTCCACGAAATTTTCTTATTTATGTATTATTTCATCATTTTTAAAACTCCCCTTACGTCAAACCATCTGTAGTTTGTTCATTTACTGAATCAACAGAGTGCAGCAGCTCAATGTCTATTACTTAAATGATCTCAAGAACTTTGATTCAATTTTTAAATCAGCTATTTCTCATCAGGACAAAGAGCAGACGAGTAGGGTTTGGTCTGTAAATGAAGAACATCGTGTTGTTGTTTTTTTGGATGGGACACTGCATTCTGGATTACTCGTATGTCTTCTAGATCACTGATGTCCTGAATGCCCTGAGAAGAATTGTAGGAAGCGGTGTGACCTGACCTACTACTGAAGACGTCCCTAACCTAAAAAAAACCCCAACCGATCAAAATCATATTTTATACAGGAGAAGTGGAGGAAAAGTAGGAGGGGGACGACCATGAAAGTGTTGAGCAAACTCTTTCTGTGGCCGTAGACTTTTCAACCCATAACCTTTTAACTTTAGCAATGGACTTTTAAAAGCCAGCACTCCCAACAAACGTTCCGCCTGCCAGAATATACCCCGTTATTCTACTGTAAGAGGGAAAGGGATTCTTTTATTTTCATCTCAGAAAATTGCATTGAATTTCAACCAGAATAACAGAGTTGGAAGGGACCTTGGAGGTCTGCTAGTCCAACCCCCTGCTCAAGCAGGAGACCCTATACTGTTTTAGACTAACAGGTGTCCATCCTCTTCTTAAAAACTTCTAGTAATAAAGCACCCATAGTTTATGGAGGCAAGTCGCTCCACCGATTAACTGTGAGGAAATTCCTCCTTAGTTCTAGGTTGGTTCTCTCCTTGATTCGTTTCCATCCGTTGCTTCTTGTCCTGCTTTGAAGAATAGCTTTTCTTTGAGGCAGCCCCTCAGACATTGGAAGGCTGCTCTCATGTCATCCCTAATCCTTCTTTTCATTAAACCAGACATACCCAATTTCTGCAACCGTTCTCCATATCTTTTCAAAGCCATCCTCCTTTTTGCAGGACCTGGGAAAAAACTACATTTTGTAAAAAAAAGAAAACGAAATGAAAAAGGACTTACTGTACTGGGTTCAAATATTTATACCCTTGATTCTCACCTTCTGGGCCATTAACTTCAGGTAAGTGAGTGAATTTTTCATTGCAGAAGTTCCCTTCGCAACAACAGAAATATACTTGTGGATTCTCTTCGGTGGCCACACATTCCTGCCTGTAGATTAAAACAACACCATAGAAAAGAAGCTAAGCCAGTGAATTCCTGTGTTGTCCATGCAACCAAACCTGCTTTACCGTGCAAGCAAATTCTTTTTATTTTTCCTCTTTTGTTGATGCAACGTATTTTATAAGAGGTGTTAAAGGAATAAACTTCCCGGTGGGAGATCTCCAAACCTTAAAAGAAACTTGCAAAAGGTCAAATCAGAGGAAGTAAAGCTATAGTTATAATAGTCACGGGTTGTCCTCACCTTACAACTATAATTGAGACTGGGACCTCCAATGCTAAGCAAAATGGTTAAGTGAATGGTCTGATTTTACCACCTTTTTTGCCATTGTTAAGTGAATCAGTCGTTAAGCGAAGTACCTGGCAGATAAGCACATCTGGTTTCCCCCATTTGACTTGTGCTTGTTGGAATCTGGCTGGGAAAGCCACGAATTGTGATCACATGACTCCAGGCCATTGCAACTATCATGCTAGTTGCCAAAGGCTTGAATTCTGAAACTTGTCACTGCAGGAATGCTACAATAGTTGTAAGTGTGAGGACCAGCACCATCCTAACTTCAAACAGCTGCTGAATGATTGGTTGTAAGTCAAGGACTAGCTATATAATATTATTGGGTTGCAAATATTATCCAGAGACACTTTCCTTGATGTGGGCGGCCAATATAAATTTAATTAATAAATAAACTATAGCTACTATATGTTTGTGTTCTAAGAGAATGTAAACAAACACACAAATAACCTATCCTTTGGGTTTTGAACAAAGGAGAAAGAAGAAATAATATTTCCAGCAAATCATAGAGGTAGTCCTCAACTTATTGACTACAATTGGGCCCAAGGTTTCTGTTGTTAAGTGAGATGTATGTTAAGTGAAATTTGCCCCATTTTAGAGCTTTTCTTGCCCCAGCTGTTAAGTGAATCACTGCAGTTGTTAAGTTAGTAGCACAGTGGTTCAGTGAATCTGGCTTTCCCATTGTCAGATGGTCACAAAAGGGGATCACATGACCCCCAAGGGACACTGCAACTGTCATAGATGCGAGTCAGTTCAGCCAAGCGCCTGAAGACGTGACCAGGGGATGCTCCCAGGATTCTGGGAGTTGACGTCCCCAAGTCTTAAAGTGGCTAAGCCCTTGCTCTCTACGGTCCTGCGAGCACCCTTTGGGTGCTTAGCGACCGATCAAATTCCAAAACCAGGTCCTAGCTTTTTGGAAGGTGGTTTTTTGGAGGTCCGTGGCAGCATCAAGTGGTACCTAACCAACCCATCGCAAGGACTACCTTTAATGCAAATAGAGGCTCCTTGACTCACTTCCTGGTGATTGGAGTGCTTGTAGGAATCGTGACCAGTTCTAAGAAATATTTCTGCCATCAGCCCACGTGGAAAATGCAATGCTTGAAAACAGGCTCAGACCACCCACAATATATTTGTTTTTTTCTCAGCAATGACCATCATCCCACTGCTTGTTATAAATCTAATTTTTTCTTTTCTTTCAACTACTATGACTGATGTGGTTGTAAACATTTAATAAAACTCCTGGAGCAAAGAGGGAGGGGGGGGGGGGAAAGCCCAACTAAGTGCATTTAAAAGGGAATCCAGTTGAGTGGTTTAGCTGAGGCCGTCAAAAGAAAAACCCAGCAAAATGGGAAGGTGGGTGCTTGTGTGGCCATCCTGAAAAATGGGCAATTAATGGGCAACGGTAGCTCAAAAACAGGTTCCAGTCATTCCACCCTCAACCCCGACTTGTTTTTCTCCAGATTGCCGCTCCAAAATGATTAATATTCTCCTTTTCTACAGAAAACAAGCAAACAAGAGCACATGGTTTGCCATGTACAGGATATTCTTTTGAGCTGGCTGGAAAAGGAACTGGGCTTTCATTGTGCGAAAACACCTGGGGAGATTTTTTTTTTTTTAACTTTCCTGGATTCTACAATTACATGGGGGGGGGGGGGGGGAAATAGCAGGCGATGGTTGACCTAATGTAGAGACCTTAAATTGAAGTCAGCATGACCGCCAGCCTTCCCACTCCTCAAAGTGGCTCTGTGAAAATAGCCCCTTTTGGCGCGGAAGACTTTCTTAAGGCGGGTGAAGGCAGAGAGGTGTTTTGAACTCAAAGAATGCTCCTGGTTATTTGTGCCTGACAGTTGTTTACCTTATGAACCACGGAGCCCAAGATTCCATTGCTGACAGCCAATCTGTGACCATTCCTGTGATATGAAACTATTAAACAAGAATTTAGGACAATGTCTCTATTTCATGAGGAATTCCTACCTCGTCGCTCTTACCTGTCATAACAATTGAAGTCGTCAAGCCAACATCCTTTCTTCACCAGTTCGATGGATCCAGAGTTGTTTCTCCAAGAGGCATAGCAATGCAGGCGCTTGTCTTTTTCACCTTCGCAGCGTTCCACTCCACTCTGGTTAGTCTTCTCCAGTTCCCAGTTGGCATTGTAGTAAGTGCATTCTCTTGTCTCAGCCTCTCCCTGGCCAGATCCTGGAGAAAGAGGTAAAAGAATCCAACACTAATGATTATATTGTGGGAAAGAAAAATAATGAAGGCTGGTCGTTGATCATAGGTGACCAGGGATGATAAGACTTGTGATCCAGAACATCTGAAAGACACCAGACTGAGGAAGGTTACTGGCCATATTTCTTATATTCCCATAAAGATATAAATAGAATATAAAATGAGACCAAACTCCACTCCCCACTAGCATTGAAGATGTTGCCTGGTTTGGTAATGAAATGTCTGCAAGCAAAGAACCACGCTCAGAGAGCACCGAGGACCTCTCAAAAGGTAGACAACTTAAAACCTTCTAGATAAAGCTAAACCAGCAACATACTCACTACCGCTATCAAGGTTACCATTGGATGACCATGTTTGAAACCTGTAAAAGACTAGATTGTCCATTCACAGAGTCTGCACATACAGACAGTCCTCACTTCACGACACATCTGAAGTTACAACAGACCTCCCCAGAGCTGCTTATAACCAATTTTTCAAAGTTGTGATGGCCTTCATCACAGGCAAAGGACACAGAGCATCAAAAAGTTGACAAATTTAAGGGTTAATTAAGTCTGGAAAACCAAAGGAAAGGACTGGTGATGTTGCCTTGGATTGATGCCAGAGGAAGGGGACATGGTTTTGGTGGTCAGGGACCACGATTCAAAACTTTCTTTAGAAGGGAAAACCGCAGGGGTGGAAACTAAAACTGTGAAATGGATAAGGGAGAGGTTTTCCCTAGAGTAGAATGAAGCCTGAAAATTAATTTCTCATCATTTGAAGCTTTGTGTTCCTTGCCTTTGTTTTTTCATTTTGGGGGCAACTTATTTCTCAAGAACAAGAATGTTGCCATTTCCACATCTATACAACAATTTTTGCCAATTGGTTGGGAAATGAAGATTACATAAGCCTCAACTGGCAATAATGTCCCACAATGTCCTAAAGTTTCTCGGATGAAGAGAGGCGGCAAACTCATATAAAGCTAAACAAGAAATCAGTTTGCATTTCTATGTTTGCTTTCTGTGGTTTTATATATTTTAAGGCCCTCTTCATCTCACCCAAAGCAATTCTGCTCAATTTCCTTAGATTTCCAAAGCACAATCCAAATGACTAAGAAATAGAATATTGATCTTTCTTGGCTCTATCAGATCTCCCAATTTGCTGGCATTCCTAATGCTAATTATTTAACAAAAGGCTCATATTGAGTGCTCATTTTTTACATCCCCTGATCTAACACAGGGACATATCTTTAAATTGCAATGTTCAGATTATTTTAGGCTAAAGAATAGTGATCGAAGTTTATTTTCCTGCAATTAGTAAATACATATCATAATCATAATAATGAAATATATTCTATACTACTTATTTTAAGTTGGACTAGTTAAGCAGTTTTAAAACAAAGACAATTTCATATTTTGCTGATTGATCAGTAAGTATATTCCTATTGGTAGCAGGATTTATTGTATTGTTAACAATTTGCAACTGTACAGGAACAGCCAAGGAAATAATTGCAGTTTTAAAATTGTGTCACTAGTTTTGAAGATTAATGAAATTGTTTAATGCAAATGTTGACCATATCAAACTATTTTTTTTTTGCCTCCTGCAATCTGTGGTGAAACATGAACAGAATTATTATGCAGACAGATATTTGTCCACATTATGTAGAATTTGGGCATGTGTAAAGAGAAGAAATCTTCTGCAATGAAAAAAAAGTCAAGAAATGATCATTGTAGCAAAAAGCTTCATCTTGGTATCAAAAATGTATTTATATGGCAAGAAGAATTAATCACAGCTGTTTTCAAACTTCAGCTTCTACACGTAATAATAATTTATATCAGGCTTTCTCTCATACTATATAGTCACCTTAATTCAATTAGAAACTAAAAATATTCAAAGATGATAAAACTCTTATTACATTTCTTGTTTTAACCTGATAATAAAATGCATGGTTTAAAATACCAGAGAGAAAACAGTTTTAGAAAGATACATTATGACCAACTTAATCTGGTAGAAGACAATCATGACTATAAGGAGAGTTTATAGCATTCTGGAGGAGGAAATCTCCTTTCTTTTCATGGATGAAAAGGAAAATTTTTAAAGCAAGGAAAATATAAACCGAACACAACTGTTACATTCTGTAAGGCTTTGTAACTTTGATGCCTGGAAAATGCTTCAGAAATCAAAGGAATTGTTTTCAAATAACTTTGTTTCTCAACGTAACACTGCAACTTCTGCTCTGCAGAAAGATTAAAGGAACTCCCACAGGATTCTCAATTTAGTGATCAGATGGGCATGTAAACATAGATTTGCAACAGAAGGATTTGATAAAACTTTCAAAAATGGGGCAATTCCACGGAGCAAGTTTTACAGAATGCGCAGCAAAATCTAAAATTTCCCTGCCTTCCTTCCTTGCTCCCTCCTTCCTCCCTTTCCCTCCTCTTGCCCACCCTCCTTTTCCTTCCTTCCACCAACCCATCCTCTCTCTCTTGTTCCTTCCTTCTTCCTTGTCTCTCCCTCCTCTTTCCATTCTATTTTCCTTATTCCCCTCCCTGCTCTCTTCCTCCCTCCCTCCCTCTCTACCTCAGTCAGTAAATGTAGCTCGGGAGTTAAAGGTATAAAGGAGCACTTTATAGCAACGTACTGTTTTCGGGGAGGAAGGGGTAGGCTGAATTACATTGTCGCACAGATTCCTGGTAAAACCACTGAGTTGAAAAACTTACGGAAATAACACGTTAACTAATAAATTGTCTGCCTTGAATGAAAAGCACTGATTTGTTTGATTACTTCCTGATGGCTCTGACAATGTATTTTTCAACCCTGACAACTACTTAAAACTGCATGGATTTCAACTCCCAGAATTCCTCAGCTAGTATGCAGGCTGAGGGATTCTGGGATTCGAAGTCCACGCCTCTGACAAAAGTTGAAAAACACTGTCCAGGGCAACACTCTCCTGCAAACACCCTGGAAGTCTTCTAGGCCAACTCCCTGATCAAGCAGGAAACCTTACACCATTCCAGGTAAATGACTGTCCAGTCTCTTCTTTATTGCCAAAAGACGTCCAGCCTTTCTTCTGGAATCTATAGCCTTAATGAGAAGAACCAGACACTCATAGTAGAAACTGAATGACCAAAAGTGGGCAAAAAAGCAGTAAGAGTGACTTCCAACTTCCTATCTCCAATGAGTGGGAACCTAGAAGGGAGCACTGGAAACCTCCCCTTCCTTTCCCTTTCCAGCAGGCTGGTAAGTAGCTGATACTGGGCAGGGTAGGGAGCAAGGGATTACGTGACTGCCTGGGAAACTGCCATGGAACATTGAAAAGCATGTGGCTGCAGTAGCAAGCCAATGACACAGCAGTAGTAAGTAGCACATTACGAGCCACAACTCTCTCAAATTTCACTCCCTTGGGAGTCATGGATTCTGAATTTTGAACATATTCTGTAAGTTAGCTCATTTGAGGTACTTTATATCAAAAATGGTTGCTCTATGATGCACCATTTCACCCACTTAAGGGTCATAACAACTAGAGCTTTTGAGTAAAGGTCAATGAAAATTTAACTCTTAAAAGAGTTGTTTCAGTAGTTGGGGTTTTCCCCTATTTCTAGCCTCTCACTTCAAATAAAACAATGGCAGATAATATAAACCTGTCACAAGATGCAGTGGAAAATTAAGTGTGTGGTGGACAGGTGAAATGAATACTCTGCCCCTATTTCTATCAACGTCTTTAAAAATTCAAAGAAGATTCTATCACTATTTAAATATCAAGATACCGAGATGCTCTTCCTTCCAAAACTTAGCAGAAAACTCAAGGAGGTAAATCATGATGTCCTGTGTTCTTCCTCCTCAAGTACAAACTGGAGAGGAAAGCAAATTTCTTTCCATGATCCCTGCCAAAAAAACAGTGGAAAACGTAAGGCCAAGGGAGTTTTGGAATGCTGTTTACAAACCGTTTTCTCTTTTTCAGCCATACATATTGGTGGGAGTGAGTGACCTTAAATGGGTTCCTTTTAAAAGACAACAGAGCCATAAAAACTATTCTTTCTCTCTCTCTCTCTTTTAATGTTTCCACAATCTAAACCATTTGAACTTTTTAGGAATCATCTAATAACATACAGAGGCAAAGACTGCCTTCTCTTATCGAAGCCCATTTCCTAGGAAAGCTATTCTCAAGCTTCCTTCCCTCCCCCGCCCCCCCCCCTTGCTTTGAAGTGAAATTAACCTTCAGCTAACAACAAAACAAAGGAGACAAGTTGTTGTGTTTGTCTTTTAAAAGAGGGTGGCAAGGGGAATCAGGAAGCCTTTTGCAAGACCACATGCTCCTCAAGAGGCCCAGAAGGAAGCCAACAGATTCCTGAAATACTTCAAGAAGGGAAGAAGCCAAAACCCATAAAAAGATGACTTGGGTGCCTTCGGTTTTCACATTCCAGGAAAGAATTTTAAAAGCCACCCTCCCCTACTATTATATTTTAGGAGTTAGCTTCCTACTCTGTTGGGTATATTCTATTTCAGGGACCACAGAAGTATCTTGAGGCAACTGGAAAATTCCAAGAATTGTCCTGTCATCACTGTGAGTAAAAAACAGAGGAAGACGTTAGGAAATTCTAAAAGATTCAGTGATTTTTGCCCAGGTGCCTCTGTGGTGCCCTGATTTCTTTAGTCCTTCCTAGGTACCTCAAATTCTTTTGCTTTACATCCTTAAGCCTTTTTCACTAAGCTTTCTTTCTCCTTCCTTATTTCCTATATTTTTGCACTTTGTTCTAAAGTTATAAGCCTGTTTTTAAAGACCAGAAACAACCCTAAAACAGGGAGGAGCTAATTCACGGATATTTTTTTTCCTTTTCCATAGGGAGCCTTTTCAATTCTTCAATTGTAAATGGAAGAATACATCATTTAGACTCCCATATTGTTTAGTTAATAAAGCAGAACAAAATAAAAGTCCCTCTGGAAGGACCATCCAGGCTGACCATTTTTGGGGGTAGGTGGAGGGTGGTTAC